ACCTCCCTTGGAAGGCTATTCCAGATTTTGGCAACCCTTACCATAAATAATTTCTTCCTGATGTCCAATCTAAATCTACTCTCCTTCAATTTGTGGCCATTATTTCTAGTAAACCTGAGGGGCACCCTGTGAAAGTGTCCCCTATTCCCTGCTGACCCCCCTGATGAGTTTGTAGACAGCCATGAGATCACCTCTCAGCCTTCTCTTGCAGAGACTGAAGAGATTCGGGCCCCTCAGTTTTTTTTAATGGGATTTTACCTGCAGGCCCTCAGCCATATGAATAGCCCTCCTCTGAACTCTCTCCAGATTATCCACATCCCTCTTGAAGTGCAGCACCCAAAACTGGACACACTACTCCAGCTACAGTTTCGCCAGTGCTGCATAGAGGGGAAGTATCACCTCTCTCGACCTGCTTGTGATGCACCTACTAATGCGAAGAAGAGTGCAGTTAGCCTTACTTATTACTTTGTCACATTGGCAACCCATATTCATTTTTGCATCGACTCTTATCCGAGATCCCTTTCCACTGCTGTGGTACTCAGAACGGTACTTCCCAGTCCATAGGTGTATTGGAGATTCTCTTTCCCCAGATGCAGCACCTTACACTTACCCTTGTTAAATTGCATCCTACTCTGATCCGTCCACTTCCCCAGTCTATCCAAATCAGCCTGAATTTGCTCCCTGCCCCCCAGTGCGTTTACCCATAGTTTGGTGCCATCTGCAAATTTGGACAGAGTGCTTTCAACACCCTCATCCAAATTGTTGAAGATATTGAACAGTACTGGTCCAAGGACAGAGCCTTTGGGGACACCACTGCCCACACCTCTCCAGGAGGAAACCAACCCACCACCACTCTCTGGGTATGTCCCCTAAGCCAGTTTTTCACCCACCTTACTGTGAAAAAATCCACATCACAGCTACTAAGTTTGCTTGCGAGAATTGGGTGCGACACTGTACTGAAAGCCTTTTTAAAATCCAATTAAATAATATCTATCTCCACTCCTGCATCTAAGCACTTTGTGACCTGGTCATAAAAGGAGACCAGGTTAGTCAGGCAGGATCTACTTGCTATAAACCCATGCTGGTTGCCCCTTAACATTGTATTACCCCCCATGAGTGTGATCCTTTATGATTTTTTCTAAGGTCTTACCAAGAATAGAGGTGAGGCTAACTGGCCTATAATTACCTGGGTCCTTCTTCCTGCCCTTCTTGAAAATCGGGACCACACTGGCCCTTTTTCCAGTCTTCTGGGACCTGTCCTGAGTGCCACAAGTGCTCAAACAGTTGCGCCAGTGGTTTGGCTATGACACTGGCCAATTCCTTTAGTACCCTTGCATGAAGATCATCAGGACCTTCCGACTTATGTCCAACCCCTCAAAGTACCCCTTCATTAGGTTAGCGCTAACCATTGGTAGATTGGTATTTCTCTCACACCAGACTAGTCTCCTTGGGAGGTGTGTTTGTATCCGTGTCCAGGAACACAGATGCAAAGAAATCATTTAAGAGCTCCGCTTTATCCATCCTATCTGTTTTGAGTTGCCCTAGTCCATTCCGTAGCAGCCCTATTTTACCCTGCACCTTCTTCTTGCTCCCTATGTACTTTTAAAAGGCCTTTTCTTTACTCTTAATCTTTGTTGCCAACTTGAGTTCTGTATCTGCTCTGGCCTTCCTCACTGCTTCCCTGCAAGCATGAGCAAAGCAGGTATACTCTTCCTTGGTGGCTGCCCCCTGCTTCCACAGCCTGTAAGCTTCTCTTTTCCTCTGAAGGCTCTCCTGAATTTCCCTGCTCAGCCAAGAACGTATTTTGGCTTCTTTACTTCCATTTATATGTACTGGGATGGTACCCTTCTGTGCCTGAAGGATCAGTCCCTTGACAAACTCCCACCCTTCTTGGGCTCCCAGATGCGATTACTCCTCAGTCCCACTCTAACTAATCTCCTGAGCTCATTGAAGTTGGCCTTTTATAAGTCTAGCACTTCTGCCCGACGAGCTGTCTTACCCATCTTTCACCAGATAGTGAATCCTATCAACTGGTGGTCACTATCCCCTAGGTTACCTTGTACCTGTAGATCCCCTACCAAGTCCTCCCTTGTGGCCAGCACCAAGTCAAGTAAGGCATTTCCCCTAGTGGGACTGCATACCTCCTGTGTTAGGTGCAGGTCCTGTATGCAGGTTAGGAACCTATATGAACAGGCAGACCTTCTTCACTCTGGGACTGAAGCTGGAAAAAGCAGTCTCCGCTCTTGTTGAATATAGGCTAATTCCCCCTTATTAGCCTCTCCTTTCCTTTGCTTCATGTTCCAGCATATCAGCTGCACTCACTATTGCAATGAGCTCCAGCTGCACCTACCTTTCTACCACTTAATCCTTGTAGAGCTAGCAAGTAAAAAAAGGATTGTGGGCTTTGCTCCTGTTTGTGGACTTTTTGCCAAGCCATTTGTAGAGTCTCTGCCAGGATATTAAAAGATACATAATTACCAAGAAAGTTAATACAGCTGTAACTAGATTCTTTCCTGCCTGTTAATTCCCAAAGCTATTTGCATGCAAGATAGTGTTTGCTCCCTCAAGAGCCACCTTTTCAAAGCTGTATTTGATCTACCTCAAAAGAGCAGAAAGTAGAGCTGCAAGAGTGCTTATTCAAATGAAGGTAGTTAAAGTTATGGCCACGGGACTTCTGCAGAAATGTTTAAAGTCTACTGACGTGTTTAAATGCTCTGTGAAAAAGCAAGCAGGTTGAGATACTGGACAGCTGGACCCCAGTGTTGCAAACAAACAACACTGCTTACTTGATTTCAAAGGCACTACACACATTCACAGCATTAACTGAAATCACAAGTGTTTGGAAAACCAAGGCTTTTCAGACCAGATCCTCTTTGCAATAAACAATATCTTTTCTTAACACATGGTGGCCTAGCACAACAGGGCCTTAATTTCTGTAGTAGCCTTTAAGGAGCTACTGCAATTAAGGTGATAATTATTCATACAGGAAGAATCTGTTATCACATTAATTTCATTTTTGGGTACTGCTACTTACACAGATTTGAACTCGTGCTATACTGGTAAAAGCAGTTTTGCTAGTCTACACCAAGGACTTCAGATTTATGAGGACTTGAGCTGTTATGTCAATCAGGGATCATACCTCTTCATTCCTCTCTCTGACTGATGTAGCTATGCTACCAGAATTTGGTAATGTAGATGTGACCAGAAATAGCACGAGACTTATCTACCAAAAATCAAATATACCTATTTTTAAGAAGCCCTAATTTGCCATATTACTCATTTCATTAAATTTTGTCCTTTCAGCCCTGATAACGACCTGTTGGCTTATGCAGGAAACCACGGCACAGGACACTGGAAAGGTCCACATCCTATTCTGGTCTAGAGCAGAAATCAAATTAAGCACATACCCCCCCACTGGGAAATAAAAACAGAAGAAACCCAAGATCAAAACCCAAAGCCAGCATCTTCCCCTGAGGGAGATGACCAGAGATTTCCAGTCCTGAGGATTTTTTCAAGTTATTTTCACCCTATGAACACCAAATATATATATATGATCATAAATAATATAGGCCCCCACAAAAAAAGAGCAAAGGATGAAGTGCCCCCACTATATTCCTCTTCTCCCTGCCTGCCCACCTTCTTGTCTATCACTACCATTTCTTTTGTCCTCCGTTATTATTTATAATTCACAATAACCAAGTTGTTAGACAAATACTGTTAATTTGAACCCTAAGCCACTGACACTTAGACTTTATTTTCTATATTTTTTACACAACTTCCTAAGAAAGCCATCTATAAATTAGAATAGTTTTGACACAGACCAGGTTTTTAGCTTAGTTATACAACCCAGTTACAATATGGTTAGATCCAGTCTGCTCTACAGGGTTTTTAACTGGAGTGTATTGGCTTTGAGAACATAGATTCATAGATGTTTAGGTAGGAAGGGACCTTACCAGACTGAATGACCCCCTGCCCTGGGCAGGAAACAGCGCTAGGGTCAGATGACCCCAGTCATGTGCATTTCTTGCCTCCTCTTAAAGACCCCCAAGGTAGGGGAGAGCACCACCCCCCTTGGAAGCCCATTCCAGATTTTGGCAACCCTTACTGTGAAGTTCTTCCTGATATCTAAGCTAAATCTGCTGTCAGTTTGTGGCCATTGTTCCTAATTAACCCAAGGGGTGTCCTGGTAAACAGAGCATCTCCTATTCCTTGCTGTCCCCCCCGATGAATTCTCTTGTGGAGGCTGAAGAGATCCAGGGCCCTCAATCTCTCCTCATAGGGCTTTGCCTGCAGGCCTCTATACAAGTGGCCCTCTTCTGAACCCTCCTGAGGTTGTCCACCTCCCTCTTCATGGGCAACTGGTGCCTCCCAAGTCTGGGGGTGGGCACCAGATTGCCCAGGGGGGAGGGAGCTGCTGATCGCTGACCGGGGGGAGGAAGTGTGGTTAATTTTACCGATCACTTCATCACATTGATAACTCCTGTTCATCTTGGAGTCAACAGTGACTCCAAAATCCCTTTCGGAAGCTATGCTGCTGAGAAGGTCCTCCGCCAGCCTCTAAGCATGTTGTTGACTCCTTCTCCCTAGGTGCAGCACACTGCATTTGTCCTTCTTGAACTGCATCCTATTCTGTTCCGCCCACTGTTCCAACCTGTCCAGATCTGCCTGGATTCATTCCCTACCCTCTGGTGTCTTAACTTTGCCCCATAATTTAGTATCATCTGTGAATATGTTGCAACTAAATCTCTCATTTTTGTGGTTTAGATCAGCGGTTCCCAGACTCTGACAGATTGCACACCACTAAGACAGTGAGTATTAAGGCTGATTGGCTAAATACTCAGAAACAAAATCCACCATTTGGGATACTGCAAACTGGTATGTTAAAGCTAAGGCTAAAAAGTGGGAGAGAACAAAAACAGCCTCAGAATCCTTCTGTAGCTTGGCAGTCTGTTATCCTATGCTGGATGGAGAAAGAACTGGTATAAGCACCATTTTTTTTCAGCTTCATATAGGTAACATATTTATTGAAAATCTGCTCCACCAACAATGGTGAAATTATGACCAAAAAATTACAAAACATCATGGTAATTGGCTTTATAAAAATAAACAGAAGGACTATGTCTCGCTGATTTGTACCTGTTTCCCTCAAATATACCAATTTCACTTTACACTCTCCTCCTTTAACAATGTAAATTTTGCTCTTCATCATAATACAGTATTAGAAAATTGCATTCCGTCCAGAAAAAATGGTTTTTGCTTCCAAATAGCAGAGGTCCTTAAAGTAACATTTCCCTCCCCAACAATAAATATAGAAAATAGCCTCTAAAGAAATAAATTTTAGTTTGGTCAGTTAAAAAAAAAAAAAGGAAAAGAAAAAGAAAAAGGTCCTTCTTCCCTCTTGGGATATGTAGTGACTAAGCATTTTAAACAGTGTTCAAGTCTTTGGTGAGTTCAGCTGCTTAAAATCAGTTTTATATACATATGATAAAATTAGTTCCTTTTTTTAAAAAACAAAAAAATATGAGATGATGTCATAGGTGAATCATCAGTACAAATCACCATATCTGATGGATCTTTATTAGGAGCAACCACCTATCCAGTATAGCAATTAGTAAGGGAAGATCATCTTTGGCAAATGTGGTCTATCAAACTGAAGGCGTCTTTGGTGGATGAACCTGTTGCATAAGCTGTGGTCGCTTGACTCTCGGTTTCCGCCTCTTTGGCCTGCTCTTAGCTTTGTTGATCTGCACCACAAAGAATGCCAAAACCACCATGGCACCAAGAAACGCAAAGACAGGTATAGTCTGTCCCACATCCTGGTTATAGCGGCCAGGCATTATACCTGTAGAAGGGAGTGGGAGGAGAAACAATTAGCAACTGTACTTGTTTCAGTACAATGTTTGCATTCTATCCATCTACAGTTAGTACAGTAACTGTTCTAAATTTAGCAATTTAATGAGACCAATTAATCAGAAAACATTTGAAAAGGGAAAATATTAATGCAGAACAATTAGTGGCATAGTAAAGAGAGATTTCATCTTGACTTTGTTTTGAAAAAAGAAGAGTGCTCAATACATAGCAGCTGTGTTTTCTTGTTAGGGAAAACAAGATTAAAAAAAAAAAAAAAAAAACCTAACCAGGAACACATTTTAAAATTTAAGCCATACATTAACAGCAAATATTGATCCAGT